TGAAACAGCAACCATGTGCTATGCACTGGGCGAGCCAACCAATTAGCGTTCGTGTACGAAACTATTTCTACTCAGCTTCGTGTAGAAAATTCGTCCAGACGAGTTCTTCCATGGTTTGCCACACGAAGCTAGGGAGGAAAGCAATAATTTTGAGCACCATCGGTAGTTGTTCATCTCACTCAGTTCACGTGGTTTTAGATTATAAAGTAGCTGTATTTGCAGGGTTCCCGACCTTGACCCATTATTATTCAAATGTATATGACATTTTTGTTTAATAATAACGACCAAGGTCGGGAATCCTGCTAATAATATACAGAATTTTGTAAACGACCTATCAATGACGTCATCGGGGTCACGTGACCTCATTTGACCCCGATGACGTTACGTGATCAAGATGACGTCATCATCGGAGATGATGACGTCATCACAAAAACAGTCACGTAATCTAAATTCGTTTCCCGCTTGCAGCCTCTTGGGCCAATCTCGTTTTTAGCGAGTCGATTGCACTTTTCCCCTTGGCAATGGCATCTTGCTTCATCTCTTGATACTTGCGATATTCCTCGAGGACCAGTTTAAACTCTTGATCGCTAATTACATTATCCTCCAAAGCGGTGGAAACGATGCTATCGATTTCAGGTTGACGTCATCGATACAAAACTCATTTCAGCAATCAGTCACGTGATTACGAAATCTAGTCAGGGGTATGCTCTATCTTGTTATGTCCGTACGCGTAGGTAGTTATTCCGTCGTCGAGTACATACCGTTTAGTGTCTAACGGAGATAGCGACTTTTTAGTCTGCTTGATCGTGTAAAGCACATGCTTGCTGCTTCGAATCGAACTCATGTCGCAATGCATATCCTCTCTTCTCGCCAACACTCGCACGTAATCGTCGTGATTTAAACGGTCCCTTACAACGTATCTGGCGACTCCCTTTGCCCGCTTGACATCCAACCTCGGATCTTGCGTCTTGATTGAGTACATTTTCGGTCTGAGTCCTACAAATTCCGTCATGACGCGTCCGCCCAATTCGTCCTTCATCTTTCCTAGAACCTTTTTATTTTTCTCGCTGTACAGACGACTGTCCTCGTCATAGTTGCTCGTGTCGAACCAATCTAAATTTTCTCGCATGTCGGCGTAAACGTCCTCGGTGGCGATCTTGAGAAACAGGCTATCGGTGTCTGTGTACAAGAGCTTGACGCGATCGCCGTACGCGGGTACGAGCTTGTCGTACCAAAACTCGTACATTAAAAGCTTGCTCAGATCCAAGACGGCCGTTCCGCAATAGATGGGTTTGTTGAGCTTGACCCGCGTCTTGTTCATGTGGATGGCAACGAGGTCATCGTTAATATCGACAAAGCTATTAAAGTTTGGTTGCGAAAAGAGCTTGGTTTTTTTACGAGTTTCGCCAGTTTTACACAAATGAACGGTTTGCCTGTTGCGAACATTTTCCATAGTCTTGCCGAAAACGGAATTGTTCATTAGCTTGAAAAAGTCCTTTTCAAAGTCGGTTTTTGCCGCCTTTCTAAGCTCAGTATTCATGTCGATGTACTCTTTCATCCACGGTCTCTGCGTAAACTCGACGATGCGATGAACCTTGGTCAGCACGAGTCCCTTGGCGAGATAAAACTGCAAGTTTCTATAGTGCACGACGTACTTGGTCTTGGACATTAGGTTCGGTACGAGTTTCTCCACCCTCGGATTATCGTGGCCCAGCAGGTCGTGCTGGTAGGGACTCATCCAATCGCGACGGGGCGCGAGCGTCTCGGGCGCCA